AAAAAAAAAAGACTATCTTAACCTCCTGACATTTGTAATTACCTTTACTATACACGATACCTATCAGTGACACCCTCTGGTATTTATTTTTCACTTAGCATTTCAATCTGCATCTATCTTGCCACAAATGGTGTGAATTTGTCTTCTAGATCACCGTGTAAATTCCATTGTGTATAAAGTAACTAAACTAATAGCTAAAGTTAACATTCAATAACTGACTACAGAAGTAAAACACTAAGGAGAGAAAAGGGAGGGAAGCGGAAAGAACAAAGAGGGAGGAAGCACAACTGTCTATAATGATGGAATGTGGGTGCATTATAGTGGTAATGCCTGATTGGGTACCCCAATAGTATCTTAGTTAAAAATAAATAAATGTTTAAAATAATAACAAAATTTAAATCAAAGATGCAGTTCTGGGACAGTAAAATTCTGCAAGGAACTGAACTGTACCATTGTGTAAGGCTCGGGAACAGAATCCCAGCCCTATGCCTTCCTCGTGAAAGAGCAGCCAGAGGACCTCTGCCTGCTGTGGGGAGACTTGAGATTCTTCGTTGTGGTGTCAGATCAGCACAAGGCCACTGGCTCGTACGCACCTTGCAGGTGAGGTCAGATACACGTCCCTGGGTTCTCATCCGTTCCTGGGGTTTTTCTGATTCAACTGCTCAGAGCCTGTGCTGGCTTTACTCCGGCTTCTGTGTATGTGTATTTTATATTGTCTTTATCTTTTGAAAAAGGTGAAAGATTTAAACGACCTGAAGAAAAAATAAGAATATCGTATATCTCGTGTGTGTATGTGTTTAGCTTTCTCCAGATCTCTCTGAAATCAAAAGAATTCTGCAGGGATGTGGGTTGAAAGTGAGCAATTTAGCCCAACTTCTTCATTACACTGATGAAAAACCCAGGCTCAGGGATTCATAACCTAATCTCTCTTTTTTCTTTTTTCTTGCTTCATCTAAAACATGGCACCCACCCTCCCACCCCCCGCAATACTTTCCACATACACAGCCCTATCACCTTGTACTCAAGCTATTGGACTGTTGGAAAGTCATGATACATTGTTGCTGAAAATCATAGAAAAATACAACATGACTTTTTGACAATCCAGTATTTCCTCCACATGGAAAAGTATTCAACCTTTCTCACCCATGTAACCTATTATGATCTCATCTCAAGTCTCAGCTCAACCCTTGTAATTTCCATGAAATCTCAGTCCGCCACCCCAGACCAGTCCTGCACACCACCCGCATCCTTCCTAGAGCTGTGCTGCTCCTGGAGAACTCCAGGCAGTCTCACTGGGAACTCTTTCTGTCTGCTCCAGACTGCAGGAAGTTCAAAAAGGCATGGTCTCATCTTGGGGACATTTCTAGTATCTGCTTAAGCCACTCCCAAGTGCTAATTGGTGATGGCGCCTGAGATAATTCATCACTAAAGTAAAAAATGCCAACAAGCCAATTGACTCAACGATCAAACAGCCATAGCCCTTTGCACACACTTAGCCCTTAGCAAAAATTATGCATGTCCTTAATTTTTGTTCTTTTTACATTTGAATGGTTCTGAACATTAGAGATACTCCATGTTATGACCAATAGCATCTTATCACCAAGAAATCCACTAATTTATTCTCTTTCTTGAGACCTGGGCTTCTACCTCCTTTATAAACTGACGTGAAGGCTGACAGGGTAGAACCAGTGGGTCTTTACAACTCTGTAGACAAAGATCTGATTTGGGCATCTACTGCCCTTTGTCTGACTCTTCCTACTAGGACAAGTTGCTTCAGTGCAGGGAACTGCATTTGACCTGAGGAAGCCAGTGGAGCTTGGAAAACACCTGCAGCAGTTCCACCTGGGTGGATTTGACCACAATTTCTGTCTGAAGAGATCTAAAGAAAAGCATTTTTGTGCACGGTATGTATTTTTCTCTTATGGCCTCCCTGGAGAGGAAAGTAGCACCGGAGACCAAACGTGACTTCACATGTCTTGTCTAAGCTCCTTTCCTACAAGTGGATGCTATGGAATTTCACTCCCTCCTCTCACCATGCTGTAATCCCGGGCCCTTTCTCGGCAGACCTGCTCAAGTTGCTCCATCTCTCTACCTGATTTTAAAGGCCGTTTTTTGTTGTTGTTACACAGTTTAACCCCTTTAGTGTAAGCTAGTGATTGGAGCCTCCACGGCCGGACTGCCTAGCGGCGGAAGGGCTGCTTCAGGCCCAGGCACTGCCAAGTACTCTTCTCCTGCAGGAACAACAGTGCCAGCTCCCGTGGCTCCTCTCCTCATCTTAGTTTTGCCACAGAAGGAGCAAGTGTCCTTGATACGTGGCTGATTTCAGCTTTCCTCGCTGAGGGAGGCACCATACGATTCCACCTTCCTGGTTGGGATGGTGCTCAGCCACGTCACCACAAACCAGGTTCAGGCCTGGGTGAAGGCCCATTTTCTTTTTCTTTTTTTTTTTTTAATACATTGTTTTTTAAGATTTATTTAATTATTCATACAGAACTGTGGTACAGGCCAGAGATGTGGAGGGTGAGAGGATTCACCAGAGACAGAGCAGGGAGCAGAACAGGCAGGTCGACAAAGTACACTGCTGAGGGGAGCAGCGGGCGGCCAGTAGAGGTCTGCCCCGCCATGTGGTCACCTCTGGGGCAGGCGGGAATCAAACTCATGCGGAAGTGGCTTAAGCTTCTCAGCGCTGTGCTTTAACCCGCTGGCCACCAGGGAGGGCCCTGAAGGCCCATTTTCTATTAGAAGTTCTAAATCCATCTGACAAGTCACCTCTGACTTCCTTGAGCATTAGGGTCCTGTCTGTTCTTGGTTTGGGATTCAGGCCCTGCCTTTTCCATGGAAAGGTGGAGGCTACATTTCCTCAGTGTCACCAGACTCAGCCCGGTCGCATAGGCTTTTGCGGGTACACTGTCTTCCCATCGGATTCCTCACTGTGAATCCTTGCCTCTGTTGGAACACCTGGCACCATCATTGGCACCAGGAAATAACCATAAGATGCTTGTCGATGAATGGATTTTAAATAAAGCAAGGGGAATGAAATTTGTGATAAAAATAGAAACTTTCAAAAGCCTGTCTCCCACAGAGCCCCAGCAGCACCAAGGCCCAGCCATGTTCCTCCAGCTCCAGCTCTGTTCTGCTTTGTGCCAGTTACATTTCTCTCCTACTACCCCCACCGGAGGAAATCCGTCTGCATTCTCTGCATATTTTCAAATCCTGGCCATCTCTTCCCAAACATCTTTCCCTGCACCTCTTAACAGTGTGGATGTTTTAACTCTTCATGCATGTGTTTTATTTCTTAGGGAGACTCTAAGCCCCAGGTTTCTTTGTCTGTAGTTCTCTTCAACCAGGTAGGTTCTCTCACCTTTGTAGAACAGAGCCCTGGTTTAATTAAAAAAAAAAAACAAAAAAGGAAATAGTGAATCTGGTGAAAACCCACAATATATGTGTTTGCAATCTGGGGCCCTCCCTGGTGGCGCAACAGGTTAAAGTGAGCACTATAGCCATTGCAGTGTGAGTTCTATCCCTGGCCAGGGTAGGGTGACCCAAGGGTGCAGCAGACCTCTCCTGTCTGTCCCACTGCTCCCCTCAGCAGTGCATTTTGGTCAATTTGCCTGTTCTGCTCCCTATTCTGTCCCTGGTGAATCCTCTCACCCCCTGCACCTCTGCCTGTACCCCAGTTCTGTAAGCATAAATAAATAGCCCCAAGAGGTGAGGGAAGGTGGCAGCTCCTCTCTTTTATAAGGCCTAACTGGTTCTTTCCCCACACCATGAAGTGAGCCCCAGCACTGTGAGAGAATCCCAGCCCATGGGCCGAAAACTGCTTCTCCTCAGCCCACTTTCCCCTGACACATACATATACAATCACAGGGGTCAGTCTGTTGCTCACAGAAGCCAAGGTCAGAATGAGAAGTTGCTAATAAGGAGCCTCAAAACCACCTGGTCATGCCTCACCCGAGGTTGCCAGGACTCCCCACCACATTCTTCCCGCCTTTATCTCCTCCTATTTTGTTCTCTGTTCTTGTGACTGGATCTGATTCCTACCTCAGAGTTTCCATCCAGCTTCTACCTGCCCCAGCCTGGACTCACTGCTGCCTTGACTCCATCCCTAGGGTCCATCATGCCGGAAGTGGGCGGGTGCTGGAAGTGTACACCACCCAGCCAGGGGTCCAGTTTTACACAGGCAACTTCCTGGATGGCACGCTAAAGGGCAAGAGTGGAGCAGTCTATCCCAAGCATTCTGGTTTCTGCCTCGAGACCCAGAACTGGCCTGATGCCGTCAATCAGGTAAAGCCACAAGCTGACCTGTCACAGAGATGCTGTGCCCAAGGTCACACTATATGATCGAGGTCATGACTTTCAAATCAGGTGTGTACAATTCAAAAGTGGATGTTTGTTCTCTTCTCCATCATGATAAACACAAGAAATTTAGTCAAGTTACTAACATGGCCTTTATGTTTTAAAAAATAGAGCTAATTATTTGTACCTCCAAATATTTTAATTTATTATTAATTTGTTTCTCCATATCAATACCTACTGGTCTTCTGCAACCACCTTTAAGATCTCCCATGTTGTCTCCTCCTACCTGCTTCCTCATAACTTCTAACAGCTATCACTTAGAACCACCGGGTTATAATAAGACTGTTGTACCTTGTGCCAGAATGTAAATCATAGTACTGTTCATCAAGAAAGCTACAACAGGGCCCTCCCTGGTGGTGCAACAGGTTAAAGCGCAGTAACGCAAGCCAGCCGCGGCTGGTCCAGGGCGCGTTCCATCCCCACTTACAAACCCAGCCCCGAAGCCGACTCTCTTGGCGCAGCAGACCTCTGCTGGCCCACCCGCTGCTCCCCTCAGCAGTATACTTCGTTTACTTTGCTATTCTGCTTCCCCCTCTGTCTCTGGTGAATCCTCTCATGGCACCTGCACCCCAGATGTGTATGCATAAGTCAATAAATTTTTTTAAAAAAAAAAGCTACGACAAAGTGTGCTTAGTGGTGCCATTGACTTTTCATTCTGGCTCACGTTCTTTCTCTTACTGCATACCAATGCTAAACAGTTCTCACGCTGGCAAATGGTTCAGGGAACCTGTCTGGTCTACAGACCATTCTAGAAGTCACACCAAATGTTCAGGGTGGTTGTAACCTGCATTGTTTTCCCTTCACAGCCCCACTTCCCGCCTGTGATGCTGCAGCCTGGTGAGGAGTATGACCACACCACTTGGTTCAAGTTTTCTGTGGCGTGAGGAAGGCTAAAGACATGACCTGTTCCGTGGACAGGCTGGCAGCCCCTTCAGCAGCTGGTGCCTGTCTAGAGATGAGATGATTTAGAGCCTTTAAAAATGAACCTATGAATTAAAACCATACAAATGATGGCTATCATTAAAATCAGTCTGAAAAGTGATCCTGTGAATTATGAAAATGGTAGCTGAATGTTGATTTTCTTTTCAAATGAGTGGCTCCAGCCTCTCAAGTTCTTAAAGAGAATTCAGCCTCCCATGTCATCTAAGCCCTGACGGAGCCCCATGGTACCTGGGCACCCTTGTGCTGCGGCTGCTTCGTCTCTCCAACCTGCCTCTTTCTTTTCTGTTTTTCACCCTTATCCTTGATCATAACTCACATTCCTTTCCTTTTTCCTCCTCCCTCTGCCTCCAACTGCTTTGCCCTGGTGAGCACTCAGAGCATTCAGAGGCCACATCAGCTCATTCAGCACACTGGCAGACAGACCTCTGCCTCAACAAGGCAGCAGATGAAGTGGGAGGGGCTGAGGCTCAGAGGTACACGACCACCTGAAGGCACACATGTAGGACTTGTGGTCAGGGAACTTAAGCTTCATCTCCACTTTAGTCTGTCACCACATTCCTAGGGCCACTGATGGACAGGGAGAACGAGGAGGTGGTCCTTCCTTGGAAGGAACCTGGAACCTTCTTTCCAGGTTCATATTTACATAAAGCATCAGTTGCTTTTAACTGTCTCTGGGCCTTACAGGTGGTAAGACTTAGAGTGCAAGATCACACTATCAAGAGAATCTGTGATTCTTAACTGAGAAAACCCAGGCGAGCCAAGGCGTGGGAGGAAAGATGCCAGTGGAGAGAGGAGCTGAGTAGTGGGGGCTGGGTCTTACCTGATGACTGCATGCAGCTCAGAGCAGACGTTGTATCATGCACAGAAGGCCAGGGGCTCCCTCGTCTACTGGACAACTGGAGCCATAATGGGGGGGTTGGGCTGATGATTTTTAAAACAATGTATTTGATGCTGTATCAAAGCAATTAATTGAAATAAAAATCTGTACCTTCTGAAGATTCCCAGTTTCTTGACTCATCTTGAAATCTGTCAGATGGACCTTTCAGAAACGGACCAACTACGTAGTATGTCCAACATGCCACGTTCCTTGAAGGAAGCCATCCCCTGCTGACCTCCCATACTTCTCTTTCTTAGTATCAACAGTAAACAAAGCCGTTGTTTATTTCATCATTTCAACAATAGCTGCCAGAGTAGGTCTTTTTTTTTTTTTCTAAGATATGCATACAAGAACTGGGGTACATGCCAGCGGTGTGGGAGGTGGGAGGTGAGAGGATTCACCAGACAGAGTGGGGAGCAGAACAGGCAGATGTACAGAAATACACTGCTGAGGGGAGCAGCAGGTGGATCAGGAGAGGTCTGCTGTGCCATGTGGGTCACCCCACCCGGCTGGGAATTGAACTCATGCCGCAGTGGCTGCGGATAGTTTCACGGTGCTGTTCTTTAATCTGTTGTGCCACCAGGCAGGGCCCTCTGCTGGGTCTTTTAAAAGGCTTCAAGAGGTAATGTCCAGGTGTATTTCCCCACAGAGATGTCATAGTCTCTCTGGAGGAGATGAGATTGATAGTAACATAGAGTATCAAATTGAACTATGACAGAGCTGAGAACCAGAGCATGAATTTTAGTACTAGTATTTACTACCTGGGCAATTTAACTGCGCTTGGCTTCAGTGTTCTCACCTGTAAGGCGGAAGGATAAAACTAATTAGTGATCTGGAAGAATAGTATGTCTGCAGCCTGGGGCAAAACCTGGCCACTAGTCAAGTCCTTTTCCCTCAGGCCTATCCTATAGCTGTGATGAAGGGCCTGAAAGGGGGAGCGAATGTCTAGATGACCAACCAATAAAGCCTGCAGCTGCAGACCTATTTCTCCTGCAAATGGAGCCCTAACCAGATTACAGCGAGAGCCCTGAATAATTTGTACTTTCTTCGCATCCTCCTGCTAGGTCCTCTGGATAATTGTCCCGTCCTCTGGATAATTCTTGTCCTGTTCCCATCTTGCTGGACTCTCCTACTTAATAACTCATTTTCATTTTACTACAGTAACTGCCAGAAATGTGTTCAAATGGATTTTTTCATCTGACCCTTACAATCCTGTAATGGTGGCAAAATACTCATTGAAAACAAGAGGTTGTTGATTGGAGAAAGTACTGACACTACATTCCATAAAGTCCCCAGTTTTTCAGAGATGAAAAACTAAAATTTATAACATACACCATTGGTAAAAAGAGAACTTTCACTCAATCACTGTTAGTAGCATTATAAACTAATACAACTTTTTGGAAGGGAACTTTGGCAGAATCTATCAATATTGACAAATTTGCAAAGCTCATGACCTAGCAATTCTACTTGTAGAAATCTGTACCAAATCTACTAGCACAAACATGTAAAGACAAACATTCAGGTGAGGGTGTTAGTTGCAACCTTATGGGGACCACCAACGCAATTGACACCCAACATCTTATCTAGAACAGTGGAGTCCAGGATACCATGGGTCGGCAGTCAATGTACTTGACAACCCATTCTGAATCATCCACAATGTGACAACCCATTCTGAATCATCCACAATGTGCTTGACAACCCATTCTGTATTCATCTTCACAAGCAGAGATGAAATAAAAACATTTCCAGATAAACAAAGCCTGAGAAGTTTTATTGCTAGTAGATTAGCCTTACAAGAAATACCAGAGTCAGCCCTCCCTATTGGTGCAAGGGGTTAAGTGCAGCACTGTGAAGCGACCCACAGCCACTACATGAGTTCGATCTCCTGCGAACCACATGGCAGCAGACCTCTCCTGCTGCTCCCTCAGCAACTTATTTTAGTTGATCTGCTCCCCACTCTGTCTCTTGTGAATCCTCTTACCCCTCACACCTCTGGCCTGTATCCAAGTTCTTGTATGCATAAATAAATAAATCTTAAAACAAAAAACTAAGAGTCCATGATGCAGAAAGGATATAAAGATGGCAACTCAGATCCCTGGAAAGAATACTAGAAAACAATGTATTAATTAATAAAAAGCCTGTATTTTTTTATCTCTTTTTTATAAAACTTAAGACTGTATAGTGTAGTAATTAAAACACTAGAAAGCTTATTATGCAGGTATCATTATATATTCACATATATTTTAGGCTTTGTGGGACGTATAGACATCATAATGACTCATCTCTGCACTCCAACACAAAATCTTTTACAGTAGGTAAACTAATGAGCATGGTTGCATTCCAATAAAGTTTTATGATAGTGCAATTTGAATTTCACATAATGAAATGTTATTATACTTTTGGTATTTTTCCAAACACAAAAAATGTAAAAATCATGCTAGCCCATCAGCTATATAAAAATAATATGGGGAGCTAGAAAAGATCATGCTTAATGAAATAAGGCAGAAAGAATGGGAAAAATACCGGATGGCTTCTCTCATAGCAGGAATCTAACAGAACAGCAAGAAAATAATGATAATGCTGAACAGCTATATACCAGAGACATTTTGTGGGGGTGGAGTGGGGAATGGGATCAAAAACGGGGTGGGGGGAGGGAAATGCACTGGACTATGGTGATGGCACATGGGTGATTTGGTGATAGGAAGCCCAAGGCAATTGCAACTGAGATGGAAAAATGCACAAAAATATGTAAAAATAAACTAATATAATAATAATAATAATAAACGTGAGGTTCACAGGCACACACTAAAAAATACGGGCCAGATTTGGTCAGCAGGTCATAATTTTAAATAAAGATTTTATTTATTTTTGTATACAAGAGCTGGGGTTAGACCAGAGGTATGTGTGTGTGTGGGGGGGGGGTGTTGAGAGGATTCACTAGAGTGGGGAGTAGAACAGGCAGATCTATTAAGGGGAGCAGCAGGCGAGACAGGAGAGGTCTGCTGTGCCATGTGGGTCAGCTCTCTGGCTAGGCATGGAACTCATGCTGCAGTGGCCGTGACAGCTTCATAGTGCTGACACTTAACCCCTTGCGCCACAGGGAGGCCCTGCAGGTCATAATTGTTGACTTCTGGACTAAACAAACAACTTGTACTCTGAAAGAATATGTACAGTGAAGCAAAGTGTATGCATCCTTAGACAAAAGCAATAGTTTATTCTTGTTCTAGCAGCCCAGGAACTCAAATGATGGTCCTTCTGACAATGATCAAGATAAACAGACCCATCCACCTTTAACATCTGCCATCTCTCTCTTTTTTTTTAAAGATTTATTCATTTATGCACACAGAATTGGGCCAGAGGTACAGGGGCAATGAGAAGATTTACAAGAGACAGAGTGGGGAGCAGAACAGCCATATCAATGAAGTACGCTGCTGAGGGGAGCAGTGAGCGAGACAGGAAAGGTCTGCTGCGTGCCATGTGGATCACCTCCGGGGCAGGGATCAAACTAAAGTAGCTGCAGCTAGCTTGCAGTGCTACATCCCAACCCATTGCACCACCAGGGTGGGCCCATCTCTATTTTTACAGTCAGCTTTTTAATCCATGGTCACAGAAGGAACCAGATTTCTTGAAGATGTAGTAACAAAACACAAAGGGGCTTGTTAATAGAATCACATTCAGTTATCTTCAAGCTTCCATCACGGAAAGGAACTACAAGCCAGGAATTCATAGGTGGATGGGTCATCACCTTAGGCAACCGAAGTCATTGAAATGGACACTGCTGGGCACTGATTTGACCTTCTTTCTGTGGGTAAGCCAATTCGCCTGCATTCACCAGCCCTTGGGATAGGTATGTAAGCTTGTACTGTATCTGCAAAAATGTTTGCATAGAAGTTTCCACACCCTTTCTGAGCAGGACTCTGAGTTTAACCCAGGTGAGAGGGAAACCTTGTACTTTAGTTATAGCATAGACTTACATTGCAAACAAGAGCATAATGATCTAAATTTTCTGCAGGCAGATTCAGACAGGTGTGACAGATGGCTAAAAGGACAACATGGATTATTCTAGAAATGGTGGCTCAAAAGATCTCACAGAAAAGCTTCCCATTTCATGTTTGGCTTAATAGAGTTGTAGAATTCATTCATTAACTTAAATATTCATTAAATACTTAAATATTAGTAGGTGGTAGGCAATGAGAAAATGAACACGGCCTAGAACCTGCTGTCACGTTTTGTCTTGTCCTAGCATACATGCAGAGAAGTAAACAAGCAGGATAGTGTTAATAGGTGTACCAGTGTGGAAGAAGTCCAAGGAATTGAGAGCAAGAGCCTTAGCCAGCCTTTTGAAAACATGAAAATTTTCCAGAGTGGAAGAAAAACATCTTCAAAACAATTTAAAAATATGCTGAGACACCACTTTTCAACACAAGATTGGTCAATATGAACCAGCTTGATAGCCCACGATATGTAGGTACAGTGATGTAGGCAAACAGGCACTCCTATACATTGCTATCTCCAGCCAGCAAATACCTAATAAAATCACATATTCTCTGACCCAACATTTCAACTTAGGGAATATCCTAAAGAAGCAAATTCAAGTATACACTAGGATTATTCACTACAACATAGTAGTACTAGCAACCCCATAGTCATTAATTCCTGTTACTGACTCAATTCTTGTCACTCCTTTGCTTAGAAACTCTGGGGGCATGTCCTTTTTAAGGCCTGCAAGGTCCTACATGTTCTGTACCCTAAACCCCGCTATGACATCCCTTCCCACTCACCCTGTTCACTTCATAATGACCTTACCCTTCAGCAATACCTTTGTACTTCCCCCAGAAAGCATGCTCAAATGTCAGTGTCAGAACCCACCATTTACAGAACAGCAGCCAGCTCCCTACCCCTTAGCCTGCTTCATTCTCAGATCAAGTTATTAACAACCTGATAATCTGTTCACCGCTTCAGAATTTAAGCTCCATGAGGATAAAGGCTGTTCACTTCTGTATTCCAAGGCAACACAGAAGTACCCATATTGCATGTACCTGGCACATTTAAGTGGCAAAGCTTACTGCATAAATCATGCAAGATTCAGACAACTATATAGTATGCAACATCAAAGTGCCTATTTTCAGTTATATGAAAGACTCTTAAGTTACCAAACGAGAAAGGTGTATGCATTTTGTATTGGAGAAATTATGAGTATTTGCCTACAAGGGCTTGACTATGTAAGGCTGTACAACTGATAATGGATACCTTTTAGAAGTGGTGGCTGAGAAGCAGGAGTAGGGAATCTTCTCATTGTATATACCCTCAGCATGTTATCAATGTTTTTATGGGTTGAGCCAGTGGCCTGTAGCAAAAGGAAAAACAAAAGCACTAGGTTTGAGAAGTGGCCTTTAGGGTTTAACATGACTAGGCTATTAAATTCCACACACACTGGAATAATTCTTCCATCAAGCAGCATCTTTTTCCCACTCCAAGTCCAAAAAATAGCCAAGTTGTTAACATTCTAAATGGGTAGGAAAGACGGGTTGTAGTTGATTCTCTTTGTCAACTGATTTTTCCATTTTTGTTTTTAAAGTAAATTAAGGTGCTTTTTGGTTGTCAAAAAGAGGGGAGGGCAGGTACTGAAAGCACATAGGACTCAAAACTCATTCTACCGCTCACAGGTGTAGAATCTCTGAACTCATTTCCCTTTCTGTGAGATGTGGTTACTACTATTTTGTCGGGATTGACAATGTCCTTTGATATTTTTTACTATAATAGTAAAGCCAGGAGGAGTTGGGGAAAGTACTTTGAAGTTACTTACTGGGGCTCAACCTCCTCCCTTTCTGAATTGTTTATAAATACTATCACATCATAAACTGAAGACATCTTTGCTCATTTCTCTGGCTTTTTCACAAATTCTCACCACCTTCCGCTAAGGACAGCCAGGCCTACTGTTATTTTGACCTGTTTTATATCTTTCCAGTCATACAATGATGCATACATGCTCCAGGTTATATAGGCTTCCTGAAGATCTTATATCAAGTTGCTGAGGGCAAGACCTAATGAACTCTTTGCCAATACCCTTCACTAAAACAGCTTGCTACTTGTTAGACTTCCCTATTTATCAGCTTAATGTAATCTTCATGCTCCTTTACACTTCAAGGGAAGCTATGTTGAGAACCAAATCTAATTGATGGAGTTTCAAGAGTCCCTTCATACTTTACTGTCCTCAGGGAGAGGGAGAGGACTGTTAGGATGGGTGACAATTTCATCCTCCCGGTGGCACAACGGGTTAAAGCACAGCACTGAGAAGCTAGCCAGTCACTTCAGCCCAATGACACAGCAGGCATCTGTCTCATACCCCCTCAGCAGTGTATTTCAGTCCATCTGCTTGTTCTGCCCCCTACTGTCTGAACCCTCTCACCATCCCTGCACCTCTGGCCTGTACCCCAGTTCAGTATAAGTGTTTATTTAAAAAATGACAGTGACACACCTAATATTTTTTAAAGTCTGAGAAAGGGTATTACTTCTAGACCTTGAGAGACCAAAATAAAGTTCTATGTCCAAAGCATTCAATAGGTTCATGATGTGGTCAGTGGCTACCAGTCAGTCAGGCTTAAAATTTTGAAGCAATTTAGCTAGCACTTTCTAAAGTCACATAACCAATTCAGCAGTTCCCAATACAAGCTAGATCAGCAGGAAAAGGCACACGGCACCAAGGCCTATACTATAATGTATACTAAACATACAGGTAACTTAATTGCAAAGGTAAGCAAGATGTTGGCTTAAATGCCCCAGCATTCCCCTTTTCTTGAAATCATTTTTGCCCCCACCCGTCTTTATTCTATTTATCCTTTCATACTAATGTCCAAAACTGTCATAATCTATGAAGCTACAGGGCCATTCCTACTCTTGGCTCAGAACTCCCACTTCCAAAAATTGAATAGCAGGACTGTTTTTCTCTGCATTTATTGTTGAGCAAACTTATCTTTATATAATACAGAACAATTAAAGCTGACTAAGTGCAACAAGTAAGCCTGCCAATAGTACACAGCTTTATACCACCCGTAATTCAACCAGTTGTCAAAATTCCAAAATCAAAGCATCCCAAACTCCAACATACCAGTGATCATTCAGACCAACAGATATTTGAGGTCTTGAGACTTGTATACTTGTATTCCAATTGCAATACTGTTCAGTACCTTTTTTGAAAAACAAAGAAAAACGGACAAAGGCAGGTACCTGTGCCATCAGCACTTTTTTTTTTTTTTTTTTTTGCATCAAGGGTACAGAATACTCAGTAAAAACTTGATCAGAAAAACTCAAGTCACTGTTATTGACCTACTATACTTAAAGTCTGAATAATCTACTGGTTATACCATTCTAAGAGCTACCAGATGCTACCAAAAAACTACGAGGTGTTGCTAAATATAGGCAATTTACAAAACCACTTGTCTCATTAACATTTCTGATTGACATCTTTTGTAATTACTTGGCACCAGCCTGGCAAAATAGCAAGGTATATTGATCAGTAACCGAAAACCTAGCTCAGTAATTAACAGATCTCTGTTCACATTAAGGCAATCCATCTGAATAGAGGAAGAGTATCTTCTGGGCTGGAAAATTTTGCAAAGCTGGTTTACATGAACATGTTTGTTCCCAAATTCAAACAATTCCTTAAACATGCAAAAATTCTGGTATTTAACTGGTTATGTTTAAAAGAAAAACCTAAGAACACTGAGTAAAGGCTAAGATTGCGAGTTCTAATTTGACACCATCCAATAGCCTACAAACCTCAAGTTCTCCTATCTTTTCTCTCCAGCTATTTCTCACACCATTAAGCCCTCTGCTTAAGTTCCTGTCACATTCAATTATAGGTAAATGAGTGGTCCCTCTAGTTCAGCAGAGAGCAATAGTTTGATGTTTAATAACATCAACTACAATGTAACTTTAGAATTTGTCATGAGGTATTCATGCTCTTCAGGGGAACTCAAGACCTATCTTTCCTAACCTAAGGACTAAATGGAAATTTTCTAGGTGTATGTGTATACTATAGTTATTAATGCTCAAGGCTTAACATATACTTTGAATGTAGGTTTGCATGAAGATGATTAATACCAAGTTTGACTACTGAAGTTTACCAAAATTGAGTTTTGACACTGAACACAAATCAAAAATCTAGTTAGAAACATTTTATTTAAATGTGTCAAATAAAAACCCACATTTTCATACCATAAGATGTTAATACATTCAACAAAAATGTATATTATCTTACTGCTGTGAATTTACAGAGTAATTATCCAGATCCGTTTTGATTAGATGGTTGAAATACCCTTCTCCTAAGTTACACTTTACAGACATCACAAATCCCTTATAATAATGTAAACAAAATAACTTTTCCCTAAAAGGTGAACTTGAGAACTTCAGTCCACTCTTTCAGGACTTGCACTTCTTCGTGGACTTCCTGATGGGGAACGACTAAAAAGAAAAAATTAAATTTGCAACAGTTAGTGTCTATTGAAACTTATTCTTACCATGTGTACATCAGGGCAATACTCAGATTTAATAAATCAAAAGGTAGTCAGAGGTATTTGGAGATTCGTAAACAAATCTTCTGTATGTTTAACAGTAAGGGTCTGGTAAGAGAATTTCCTTGCTAAAATTGCAAGGTTACATAAAAGTAGGAAGAAAATTATTTCATTGCCAGCATTTCAAACTAATTTTTTTTTTCAAGTGGTCACTTTCTTCTTACCTATTGTCCACGTAAGAAAACAGGTTTTAAAAGATTTTATTAATTCACCACTGAATTACAATAAAAACACATTTCGTAACAGGAAATTACAAAACTTAAGGGTTCATAGAAGCAAAGACATCCTAACTCCAACATTTTATGACTTTATTTACAATGAAAGCTTAAGCTAATGCTGAAGCAGGAAAAGCAACCATCTCAAGTATACTACCAAATATTTCAATATATATAGCACCAATTCTCCAAAGAGCTCAAAGCCTGCAAATTAGGCAGTAAACAGACAAAATCTGCAGAGGCCACACTTGACAGTTAATATTTGCCAACAAAACATTCTTTAAGCTTACCTTCTTTTTGGAGATGGAGATCTGGACTTTGATCGGCTGTCAAAACACGAGAAATTCTATTAAGAAAAAGTACTAACCAATCCCTTCCTTAAGTCACAATACCATGAAATGAACCCCCAAACTGTCCTCAGTTTAAAATGTCAGGTATCAGTGGAACTGAAAACAAGTCTACTGGTTTTTGGTGACAAAAGCCAATCTCGCAAAATATGGGTATTTTATCACTTTTTTACAGTTTTAAGCAATTTATCTCAAAATGCTTCTCTCCATGCACCTATTAGTTCCTGAACAGGGCCTCTAGTGCAATCCTAAAATCACATCTCACTATAGCTTCAAATCATCTTGTCCAAGAAGTAAGCCAGGGTAGGACAAGATTAAATGAAATTCTAATGTTTGGCAATTAAGATACTGTGTTCCCATTTCACACCAAGGCTTCAAGTTAGGGCTTGTTATACACTTTGAACTCTTTGGATATTGGTGCCATATAAACTAGGAGAACGTTATTCAGATTTTTACCCTACCTGCTTCTTGGTCGTGAAAGAGACCTGGATCTCGATCTTGATCTTGACCGTGATCTAAAAGGAAAAAATGTAATCACACCAATTATTCTCTAATAGTTAATTTCCTTAAATACATATCAAAAGCACCGTAACAGGTAAGGAATAGAAGAGTAGTAGGAATAGAGGGGCCAAAGTTGAGCAAGATGCAACTCTTGTGTTCTAAGAGTGAACAAATGGTAATACTTTCAACAAACTGATACTGAACTAAATTAAAAACCAATGATCCAATTATTTCTTTTACACTCATTAACCTGGATTGTCACAGTTCCTATGTAGATTCAATATACCAAAACAGAATAATCAAGAAGTAAAAATTTTCATTTGGAAGCTCACTTAAAAGAATCCAATAACCTTTACCAATACCAATTCAGGTAATCAAACTGCAGGTAAAGAAGTAAACATTGGTAAGGTTTTCTCCTCGAATCACGTACGTTACCATGATTCAGAACCACCAATTGGTCACACAAACCAATCAAGCTCTGACACACACCTTCGAGTTCTATTATTAGATCCTTACAGCTAATTTTCTATAGAACTATCATTTTCTTTTCTATAACATCATCCTTTTTAAACACCTTTCAAGATTTTCTACTTAGGGAATAAAAAGGCTGGGAGGGGGGTGGGGGTTCTACTTTCAATTTCCCCCCTGAAGTTTCAATGTGAAAATCTGCTAAAACAAAGGTCCTATTTACCCCTGTATACACTACCACCATCCTACACAACTTTTCATGGTTTCTAATTGACTCCAATTCATTCCAGAGAAAACTACGTTTTGATTCACTTCTAAAACTCTTGAGAGGTCAAACAAGCCTTATCAGAGGTCAGACCAATTTGCCCCCCTGGTATTAGGCTTCATTTATCTGCCTAAGTATATACTAACTCCAGAACATTTAAGCAATGTATCTACCCAGAGTTCACTAGAATAATTTGAGGAACTGTCACTTTGATCCTTCTCTACCAGTACCTCTCTTTGAACAATCCTTAAAATTTTTAGTTGGGCTTCATCTGAAAACTATGGTAATACTATCTATTTCCAGGTCATGTGTAAATTCAACTTGTATATTTCAGGTGTTATTTTCTGAAGCATTCTACTTCAATTATGTCCTAAAATGTTTCATTGTCATTAAGACATGACAATCCAAATGCAAGCAGGGAGATAAGTGTGTTACGTACTGGAAATACCTTGATCCTTTTATAGAACCAGATCTAGATCGTCTGAGTGAAGCTGATCTCGATCTGCGAAGAGACACAGATCTTGATCTTCGAAGAGATGCAGACCTTGACCTAAAAATTAAATCAAAGTTTAAGTCCATCTCCAATTAAAATTCTTTATCACTTATTAAACCTTGAATTAAAGAACTCTTCTCACCTGCGTCCCCTGCTCCTACTACGTGAGCGAGAGTACCGCCTACCTCTGGATCTTGAATGTGATCTAGACCGTGACCTATTTTTCAAGTTAGAAAAAAACAGTATGTCAGATGGTAACTCGTTTTTGCAGTTTGTGTGCCTCTGCTGAAATCAAATCTCAAAACTATTTAAATTTAGTGTGTCATTTGAAAATAAACTCTGGGCCTATTAGTTGCTTTTTTTTTTTTACTACCTAAAAAAAGATTTGTTAAAAGCTGAATTACATCTTAGAATTACATAATAGAAAACACTGTAATGTGTATTTAAAATAAACCTTGCAAGTTTGCAGGTCGACCCTCTTTGGCCCATGGTCTAGTAGGTCTAGCAGATCTAGACGATCTAGAAGTATCTATAGCCGATCGCTGCATCTAGATGTTTTCTTCAATCTAACGACGATCAAACTGACAGCCAAATGAGCCAGGTGAGGCTTGATTGACGCAAGAAGATTTTTCTAGTTGGGAATGTGGTCAATCTGATGTTCCTCTTTCTAAACCGGAGGGGGCCCCAATTGTAAGCCAAATTTACTGTTACGGCGATCACCGTCTCAAATTTTCTGCCCTTTAAAGAATAAGGTGAAGCTAGGTGTAGATGACTCGAGGGGATCTGGCCTCTTATGCTGATCACCTCAAGGTCTAGGAGGATCTTAATTGTCGGATTTGCAAGGCGCCTCAGCATGATATCATAAGGCTCGTGACATTCTGAATCAAGGCGACTGACTCAAACGAAGAAACCTGAAAGGTTTTGACCAGGTTGATTATTAATATATTAACAATATTTAATTACACAAAAATTGTAAAATACACCTGTACAATTAACATTCAAGTTTATAGAAAAAAAATTAGTTTCTGCCTTGCCAATAAAAGATTTACTTGATTAACTAGTATACCAACCAATCCCTTATCAAAATAAGTACCTGCTTCTTCTTCTGCGGCTATAACGATGACAATCATAAGCATAATGTCCCTTTTCGCCACATTCATAGCATCTATCATTGGGATCAAAGGGACGTCGGGCAGGTGGTCTATCAAATCGAGATCTCCGAGGCATGCCTGTTGATAGCTCAACCCTCACTCTGGAACCACAAATGACCCTAAAAGGAAAAAAAAAACACATGTGACCTCTAGACTAAAAACTTCCCAAACATTCTTCAGCTCTCTTTAGAAAAAGCCCTCTCCTATCTATCCCAATTTCTCCCATCACGTCTTAAATAAAAATTATGGTTTGCTTTTTACGGTCTCCTCCAGACTCTAAAATCCAACCTCACACGAGCTAACTCACTATTCCACCCCATGGGAACATTAAAGCTTTTTACCCAACATTACTTACTTTCCATCCAGGCCTCGCACTGCATCTTCTGCATCTCTAGGATCTTCAAATTCCACAAAGGCAAATCCTGGAGGATTTCTCGCAATCCACACAGTTCTTAGGGGACCATAATAACTGAAAGCCCTTTCTAACTCTCCTTTGCCAGCACCAGTTCCCAGGTTACCAACATACACCTTGGTTTCTGTTTAAAAACGCAAATAGAAAAAAGCACGTTATAAAAACTTGGCTTGTTTGAACTGACTCCTTACGTAAAACAAGCTACCTTAAAACTATACAAAGAAAACAGAATGCTTTATTTTATCAAAGGTTCTTTTAAGTCTTAATGCCAGCAAAGTTCTTGAATTTCTGAAAAGTTAGCCTTATGACAAGATGTTTAACGTTTTAACCAGAGGGGAACCTCCCAACAGGCAGAGACGCATGGTAGGATATTCCGAGACGTGGGGCGGGCTCGCCCCGGCCCCGCCCCCGAGTCCCGGCAACCCCGAGCGCGCAAGAAACGCGCGGGCCGGCGGTGGCGGCAGCAGTGGCGGCGTCCGCGGCGGGCGGGCCCGGGTCGGGAGAGCAGGGCGGCGCCGGCTCTCATCCTCCGCGGCAACAGCCCCAGGCGCAGGCTCGCCCAAGACTCCAGGTCCCCGCCCCAGAGCCATAAACCGCGCTCGAAAGAGCTAAAAGAGAAAAGAAACCAGCCGCCAGACGGAAAGATCATGTTTCCCTTCCCATTCCGCAAATCGACCGTTGCCGAAAACGCACAGCTCGCAACTGCTACTTCGGTTCCTTAGCAAATTAACCCGGGATTTACAGCTGCGGGTAGATCTGTCAGCTGAAGTGGCGGGAAAGCGCCAAGGAAATGCGCCACCACAGTCGTCAATGTGCGCAAAATGGCAGCCGCGTGCGGGGGGGTCTGGGGGATAGGCGAGCGGCTCGAAGGGCAAGAGAAAAGGCGTGATTGTGGGCCCGGCGAGGGCTGGGACGGGGGACGAAAATGCCCCAATTAATATGGAACCCGGTGCAGACTCACACCCGCCAGCCCCGTCTCCCCCCCGATACTCCGCCCCCGCTGCCTCCAGCTCGGTATGGTGTGCGCCGAAGCCGCCATTACGCACGCGGAATAACCGTCTCCAACCGCCGCGCAATTCCACGGCCTAGCAATGCTCACTACACCCACAGCAACGTCCCCTCACTGGGCCCTGGCTTCTTACCTCCTCCGTATCGCCCGTAGCGCGACATGATGACCGGCCCACGAGCGCTACTCGTTTAGCTCGCAGAGTCCAGCACACGAGTAATCCGGGAGCCCCAACGAGAAGTCACTCGCCAACGGTCCCGGCAGCACTAAGAGGAAGTGCCTGGGTTGGCGCTTATATACCCAGCGACGAGGGGGTTACTTTTGCGCATGCGTCATCTCGACGTTCTGCGCGGCACAAAGAAGCTGGGCGGAAACAGCCGAGAAGCGGCGCGGAGGGAACTGAAGCGGCTAAGATTTAGTTCAGGGGCGGAAGGATACGTTTCCATGGGAACGCCACGAACTCGCCCGTAAACCCGAGGCTGTCCCCGGAGTGTCCCGCCCCCTCCCCTCCCCCTTTTCCTCTCCCCTCCTCTTTTCCCTTCCCCTTTTCCCTCTCCCCGTGCCTTCTCCTCAATCTAAGAAACGTCAGCGCGAGCAGTCTTACTACAGGTGCATTAGAGCGGCCTTATGAAAGGCTAAAATTTAACCGCGGATGTTGCAGCCGTCGCCGCCTTTTCTGGGGAACCTGGCCGAGACCGCTACTCTGATGTGTGGGGCTCCTCAGAGGTAATCTGGAGTCCTGGCGAGAACAACTCGAGCCCAGCGGCTCTAAGTAGCGGTCTCCGCACCGTAGGCGGCAAAGGTGTCACGCCCCCAGGGACTGCGGTTTCACTACCTGCCCCTACAGAACCAGCCACGAGTTTCCACCGGCCCCGTGGAGACCGTGGGAACTCGGGACAAAGGAATACAGTTAGGTTTTTTTCCCTGTTGGACTGAAATTGTGACAAAAGCTTGAATACTTAAAACAGTCTAGCTGGGAGCGATTCTGAAATTATTTGCATTTGAAGCACAAATTTACGTTTGTTTCCGCTTCACATTGTAGTAAACACCTCATCCTCTAATGGTCTGATCGCAGGACTGGGATTTTCTTGAGTGGTGTCGAGTATTGGCCTCACGCTCAGGCACTCTGTATATCAAATAAGCGAAAACATTTTCTTGACGCTAGAATCACGGAAAATCCAGTTTTTAGTGTATGCAATGTATTAGCCAGACGCCTAGTCTATAAACGCAGATGTAACTTTTTCACAAGCCAAACAAGAAAAAGTTGGACGATATTGGTTGAAAATGTTCCCTGTAAAGGAATTTTTATTTTTCACCTGGTGTAACTTCACTTGGTGTGTATACGTGTGGGTTACAGAGCACAGGAGGAAGGATGTTTGGTGAATAAAGTACGGATTCTCTGGTGAGGCTACAAATTTATACATCATATTTTTCCAGATTTATCAAATGGAAATTTGTCACAAGAAAAGCTTTATGCAGCTGTTGAACAAAGCATTGGCAGCTTACTAAAAGACAGTGTTTGTTATACTAAGCTCCTAACAGACCTCAATAAATATTTTTGTCTTGGAAAACTGTTTTGAACTAAAGAGAATTTCTAAGAAAATAATCGTGTAAATGATATGAGAAGAAGCAGTTTTCCAAATTTTAACAAACGCTTTCAAGCACATTAAGGAAAAGCCAAAACCCCTAACTGGTCTGCTTACCTTTCTAGAAGGCAGTGCCTTTGATAAGCTAATTCTGTGTTATTTACCTCTATTAAAGGAGACCAGGCTTTGCTAATAGACAGTGAGAAAGTGTAGGGTTTAAAGCTTGGGTCACTATTTAATAACTGCCTACCCTAGACTGTTTTTGATACGGTTCTTCAGCTTTCTCATCTGCAAAATTGGGTTTAGTAATAATACGTACTTCACAGATTTATTAGGATTAGATTATGTAAATCAAATAAAGAACATTGTACGGTGTCTGGCATATTCTGTGCATTCAATAAGTGTTAGTTATCAGTAGTAGAGCAATAATAGCAGCAGTAGTAGTAGAGGTGTGGTGTGACTAAATTTAGAGGTGAATCCTCTAAATTCGCTAATTGTTTGATATGGTATCAGTGAAATTGAGATTTCATTTCTGCAAAGCTGGAAGCCAGATTCTGGAACATGATTAGCCTTAGATGGCCACTCCTAAGCCATCTTTTTCCCTTTCCTCATTGACTTGAGTAAGGGAAATTGTCACTTTCTTCTTTGACCCAATCCACAGAGAGAAAGACAATCTTATATAAGAAGCAACAGCTCAAGGCCTCCTTAGTGGCGGAAGGGGTGAAGTCTTACTACTGCATGTGTTCTATGGCTGACCAGGGAACTGCCCCACATGGAGCAGCAGATCTCTACTGTCAGGCCAGCCGCTCCCCTCAACAGTGTATCTCAGTCCATCTGTCTGTTCTGCTCCCTACTCTGTCTCAGGTGAATCCTCTCACACCCCTACACAGGTGACCTCTACCCCAGTTCTTGGATGCATAAATAAAATATTTTTTAAAAAGCAATAGCTCAGAAAATGAGACTTTCTGATGGGAAGTAAAGCCTCAGGAATTCCAAAATCAAATGCTGAAGGTTTTTTTGTTTGTTTGTTTTATTATGTTTACTGGGCTGTAGGCCAGAGGTGTGGGGGTAGTGAGAGGATTCATCCACCGGAGACAGAATGGGAAACATAACAGGCAGATCTACTGACATACACTGCTGAGGGGAGCAGTGGGCGTGTCAGGAGAGGTCTGCTGTGCCATGTGGGTCAGCTCCCTGGCCGAGGATGGAACTCAGGCTAAAAGGTGGTGGTAGTGTTCAGACTTAACTCCCAGGCCAGTAGGGAGGCCCTTAAACATATTTTTATTATTCAATACAAAAAACCCAAAACTTTGTCCTGTTTTCTCCACCACTGGCGCATGTACTTGATTCTGTTCCTTATGACATCTTCTCCTGAAACATTTGGGATGGAATGATTCCTGGCCACGAAATAAAAGCAGAATACTCCCGTTTCCCAGGTTGAATGAAGACTGATAATAAGGTCAGGTACAATTCCAACAGGAGGCACGAGAAGAACCAGGCTGTGACGGGGAGATGCACAGGAGACAGGGCACACAGCGATGCTGTGTTAATAAGCTCAGCATCTCCTGTCTTGCAAAAACACCACTGCCTGGACATATTTAGGAGATTATTTTTCTCTGTTTGAACGCTTCTATATCTAGTACTTGAATACCTAGTAGGTTGGCTCAATAATAAATATGTGAGGCCTTTGGGGGAAAATAATTGTCTTCTTCAACCCCAATCTTTTTCATATATATCTAATTTCCTAAAATCTAAGAGTAAAAAGTATGCTATTTTTTTCAGGAATGTAGTGAAATTGGCACTTACTCCCACCATTGGGAATGTGAAATAAAATTTGAGAGTCAGTCTGGCAATGTGTTTTAAAATCATTAAATTGTGTGTATACTTGACCCAGAATTCCTACTTCCTGGAATTTATCTTAGGTAATAATCATAGCCATGCAAAAAGATTTATTTACAAGAATGTTCATATGACTTTTTTTTTTTTGAAAACCTCTTATTCCCTGTTTTAGCTCTCTAGTTCAGATGTGTTACTGGATAGTGGACTTTAAGGTAGGCAAGGGTGGATGGTTTTAAAGGAGAATCTCGAATAGTCCATTGCTACAACTCTTGGTATTGCTTTTTTTTTTTCCCCTCTTTCCCCCCCAGGAGCTCTCAGCTCCCTTTTAAAAGGAAGGGACAGAAGGAAGAAGGTAAATACAAGAAGGAGGGTTATTCTTGCCCCCCCTGACTAAAGTCCCCTGTTCCTTTGAAGGCCTTGTCCCATATTCTCATTTTCCAAACTACTTGGTTATGAATCATAGAGTCACCTAGGGAGTTTTCTAAAAAAATTTTTTTTGTATTATTACAAAAGTTTATTTTTACATCATTTTGTACATTTTTTTTTCCATCTCGATTGTAATCCCTGCGGGTTTCCCATCACCAAATCACCCGTGTGCCACCACCATATATATGACCTTTTTTAATAATATCATGAAACTAGAAATAGCTTGAAAATCAAACATAAAAGGTTATTTTAATATTATGTCACATAAATTGATTACCTTATCTGTTATGGCTATTAACCATATTATAGAAGAATTTTTTTTAAAGATTTATTTGTACATACAGAATTGGGGTACAGGCCAGAGAACTCAGGGACGGTGAGAGGCTTCACCAGAGACAGAGTGGGGAGCAGAACAGGCAGATCGACGAAGTACACTGCTGAGGGGAGCAGCAGAGGGGTCAGGAGAGGTCTGCCTCGCCATGTGGTCACCTCCGGGGCAGGCGGGAATCGAACTCATGCAGAAGTGGCTTTAGCTTCTCAGTGCAGTGCTTTAACCCGATTCGCCACCAGGGAGGGCCTATAGAAGAATTTTTAATGCCAGAGAAATGTTAATGGAAGAAAGGCAGATTTCAAAATGGTGTGCATGCACAGAGTGCGTCTGGCTTTGTAAACTATTAATAAAAGTACATTTTTCTTGTTTTGCTTTTCTGTATTTTTACAATTTCCTATAGTCATTGTTTTAATTGGGAAACTTGGAGACAAAGATTTTCCAAGTTGAACTGAGAAATCACCTCATCTGTGATTGCTTCCTAACCCAGTCTGCATCCCAAAGCACATTGAAACAATTCAGTAAGCGCCAGGCAGAGGAGCAGGGGTGGCTATAGGGATTAGCTAGCTAGACAGACAGACAGATGGATGCTGCTGCTGTCCTGATTGCTTCATATATATTAATAAACTTAATTATCCATATCATTTTTAGGTAGAAGTACTGTTTCCCTTTGCTGATGAGGAAACAAAGGCACAGGAAGACCAAGCAGGGACAGAGTCAGGATTCAAACCTCAATAGTATAACTTCACAGTCTGTTTGTTTTATCATCTTACAACCTCGGTGGTATTGTGAATAAAGTATGCCCAGAATTATTTGGAGGGTAACACAAGTACCTCATTCAAGAAATGATGATTAATAGGGTTTGGTCACTGATGGCTATGAAAGCAAAATAAAAGTCTAGTATGGATGATGGTACCAGCCATCTAAATAGGGAATACAAGAGTAGAAGGAGAAAAGTTTTAGAGTCAATAGATAACATCACTTTTCCTCTTGCTCAGAACCAAAGAAGTGTCAGATAAAAGATGAAAACATGACTTTTTAAATAAATGACAGTTGCTGTGACTTCAGATGTGCTTCCAAGTGGGCTCACTAATATGTT